TAATTGATCAACTTTTCTGTAATTTCCCACTGTCCTTTTATTGTGTGCGTGCGTGCGCGTTCTTATACTAGTGTGGACTAATGCCGATTTTATAGAGCTAGCCAGCTGATGATACCATGTCATTGTTTTACATGCACAACCTTCTCAAACACAGTATGCTGACACTCCGAGGGAAACAACAAGTATTACCTCTAAATGTCTTTTAGTAACACGCAACTACCCGTAAAGGTCCGGGTTAGAATATTGATCTTCAGTAACCCATGCTTGCCGTAAGAGGCGACTAACGGGATCGGGTGGTCAGGCTCGCTGACTTGGTCGACACATGTCATCGGTTCCCAATTGCGCAGATCGATGCTCATGCTGTTGATCACTGGATTGTCTGGTCCAGACTCAATCATTTACAGACCGCCGCCATATCCCGTTAGTCGCCTCTTACGAGAAGCATGGGTTACTGAAGATCAATATTCTAACCCGGATCTTCACGGCTATCAGAGCACCATGGGATCGGAGGAAAATTCTAAAAAAAGTTGCACAGTTATTTAAAATTTTCACAAGATGGAGATGTCATGGTGTCCTTACAGCGAATGGGGTGTTTCTACGAAGCGCCCGTGGCGTGCTGCCGCGTCACACCGTCCTTCCACTCAGCCACAGAAGAAGGCAAAGACCTTAACCAATCTTACTGCTACCCAAGAGGACGACCTGGCATCATGGCTGGAGGTGAACAACCTCATCTATAACAAGAAGGTCAACGCCTACAAGGACCTCAGGAAGAAAGACGCTCTTTGGGATTCCAAAGCAGCTAGCATGGACAAAGATGTGGATATCCTGAAGACCTGGTACAGGGCAATCCGCAACTGCTACACCCGCCTTGTGCACAGGAAGTCCGGCGCCAGTGACTAGACGGAGAGGGACCGCTGGATCCTCCAGAACTTCTCCTGGCTGAGGGTTCACGTCGTCGAAGTCAAGAGGAAGACGACAGTCAGTGTAAACATAATTTAAGTGCCATTTTGCTTCTTATAAATTACTTTTAATAGCTAATAATAACTATTCGATTGTTTTGCTTGTGTCTTTACAGATGAATGAGAAGATAGCTTTTGCAGCATCCGTGGAGGACGTGGACGATGACCAGTCCGAGGCCCCAACTGAAAGAGAAACTGCAACCACTGAGCCCCTCTACCGGAGGTCATCAGCAGCGTCCACCAAGAAGGCCAGTCAGGAGGAGGAGCGACTGCTGAGCAACATTGCAACGGGGGATGAGCATTCCATTGCTTTCCAGACAAATGTCTTGCAGATGCTGGCTCCCCGCAAGGCCACGGAGAGGACTGCTTATGCTGACTGGACGAAGGTGGTGATGGTGAGCCCGCATCCGTTACTGTGGCTAAAGTTCCCGAGGGAATGTAATAACCTATTGTGCATATACCAGGAGAAAAGTGAAGAGCTTTTCCATCCTGTCTCCCAGCAACAGCACTTTCCTGCTCAGCAACAGCAGTATCAAGCCTACCCAAGGACCGGGCAAGCCGGGGGAACACGAAGGGGACACTCGGAAACGAGCCACCGATCCGATATGGTCAGTCAAAACTTACAACATAGATAAAGTAGACATCAAAGCTGACGAGCCGAACTTGTACTACTTGAGAGATAAGCCAGGGAGAGGTTTCGTGAGAGAGGAATTATTAGTCATACCGTCCGGCACAATGTTGCCACCCAAGCAAAATATTTAACACTTACCTTGTCGGGTAATCTTAATGGTATCCTGTCAACACGACATAGAGCTATCACATAATCAGGAAAGTGCTAGTTCGCGGTCATAGTGACCGTGAAGTTAACTGAGGATTCAAAAGTAGTATATACAATGGCGGCGAGACCTAAGGGCCTGACAAAAGCTTTATTAATGAAATAAAGCTTTACAGAGGCTTTTGTTGGACTTGGTCTCGGACAATCATTGTATAAACTACTGGGGGTTCAAAACCCCACCCCACCCCACTGGATCCGTCACTGTACATAGTGAAATGGGAAAACAGACGTACGTCTCACCTGAGCGTTTTCGTCCTTTGACTACACACAAAAATTATTCAAAATTGATATGACACACAGGTGTGCTATCAAATACTTTATTCACACAATGACGTTTATTAATAATGTACACATACATGGAGCCCCAAGCTGCATATGTCTAAATGCATATTTCCTAGCGTGCGTGACATGATTATCTAAAAATAAACCGACAACAACAGCCGAGAGATGCAGTCATGTCTTGATTTTCAGACCCCACCACGGATATTGGCTGCGAGATAACGAGTGACTTGTGTTTGTCATGTGTCGAGTCTATTGACTGACTGTAGAACTATAATCTGAGTTAGCTGTTGTAGCGCAACAGACACTTGGCTCAGGGTTATATTCACTGCCGTAATAAATAAACTGACCTGTTAGTTGAACCAAGTCTTCAAAGGACCCTGGTATCGGCAAATTCTCCAAGTACTTCGGGAGAGAGACACGAATCACGTGTGCTATTGCGTCCATCTTGACCCGATCGAGTTGTAAAATTACTGCACTAAACGATAAGCAGCGAGTTCATTACATTGTGCACAGGAAGTGAGTGGAACATACAGCGTACGCCTTTTACGTTGTATGTACATACTTTATAACGGGAGTGAGAAAAGCGGAAACTACAATATACGTTATCGGATCACATGAACCAAACCAGATGAACTCAGAGGTTACAAACTGGCCACTAGGATGACCAGGAAATGCCCTTGAGTTGAAAAAATAGCTATCACAGAGTTGACATGTCCGGTTATTTATTTTACTCAACATTAGGTCTTCTAAAAAGAACTCGTTCTCATCCTAATTATCCAATTAGGTCACCAGAATGAAAGTCGAGCTGGCCCCGTCGCCGAATCATGGTCTCTACCGCGTCGTCGTTGCATGGGGCGGTGGGGTAGTCTTGTGGTTGAAGCACTCGCTCGTCACGAAGACCGGGTTCGATTCCCCACATGGGTACAATATGTGAAGCCCATTTCTCACTCGTCGTTGCAAGTCGCCGTCGCCATCGTCTGTGAACCGTCTCAGAAACGGCTTGACACAATACTCGCGAGGCTTGTACCAAACCAATGGTGAGACCCGAGGTTCGAATCGCATTTTCGGCCAGTGTTGCAGCCATATTGAAAAACTGTTCAGGTTCCCCTTTTTATGTGCAAACTGTAATGAAATTTGTTCATTTAGTTGTGAGCTTCAAAGTATATTTTCCGTTTTGTTTTGCACGAATTACTAGTTTGATCTTGTTTAGATCAAATTCTTAAATTCTCATGTAATTATTAAAGTGCACATTAGGCCCTGTAAACGTCTCCTTTGAAACTGGCAGACATTGAAATTTGGTCCTGTGGCTATTTTGGTTGGTTTAATAGTGTTGGTTGGTTGCTTGGTTGGTTGTTGTTTACTGCCGCACTCAGCAATATTCCAGCTATATGGAAGCAGTCTGTAAATAATCGAGTCTGGACCAGACAATCCAGTGATCAACAGCATGAGCATCAACCTGCACAATTGGGAACCGGTGACATGTGTCAACCAAGCCAGACCACCCGATCCCGTTATAGTCGCCTCTTACGACAAGCATGGGTTGCTGAAGACCAATTCTAACCCTAGTCTTCACTGGTTAGTTTGATAGTGAAAGGAAAGAGTGGGGATTGATATAGATGCCCCGTGGAAGTATATTTAAAATAAACGATTAATTGAGAAATAATAAGTAACTTTGAATTCTTAAAATAAATATAATGAAGAGACATGTAGTCTTATGGACATTAGCTACCGTGCTGCTAATGTGAATTATATATTGATAGTCCTGGGAGTTAAGGCTAATTGATCAACTTTTCTGTAATTTCCCACTGTCCTTTTATTGTGTGCGTGCGTGCGCGTTCTTATACTAGTGTGGACTAATGCCGATTTTATAGAGCTAGCCAGCTGATGATACCATGTCATTGTTTTACATGCGCAACCCTTTCAAACACAGCATGCTGACACTCCGAGGGAAACAACAAGTATTACCTCTTAATGTCTTTTAGTAACACGAAACTACCCGTGAAGGTCCGGGTTAGAATATTGATCTTCAGTAACCCATGCTTGTCGTAAGAGGCGACTAACGGGATCGGGTGGTCAGGCTCGCTGACTTGGTTGACACATGTCATCGGTTCCCAATTGCGCAGATCGATGCTCATGCTGTTGATCACTGGATTGTCTGGTCCAGACTCGATTATTTACAGACCGCCGCCATATCCCGTTAGTCGCCTCTTACGAGAAGCATGGGTTACTGAAGATCAATATTCTAACCCGGATCTTCACGGCTATCAGAGCACCATGGGATCGGAGGAAAATTCTAAAAAACGTTGCACAGTTATCTAATGTCACTAATTAGGCCATTCTCACATAAACGTTTAGCCCAAAATAAAGGTGATCCCTATTTTGCACTGAATATAAGTTTGTCAGTTGTTCATTTTATGTCACAGTAGCACTCAGATCATGCGAGGCTGCCAGGGCTCCGAACCAACTGTGGAGTTGAAGTACAACTTCAGGTACTCCACTGTTTCTTTGTCATGGTGCTGTCTTGATTGGGACCCCTAATATTGTATACATCATGTACTGCATCCACCTCGGCTTTCTGCACTTTTCATGGAAGGCCTGAGGTCGTAGCTCTGGCGTGACTGCTGTTTTAGTTATTTGTGACCACTGCAAGTACATCTTCTAAACTAGCCCTCGAGTATTCAGTTGTCCGCAACTTTATTCAGCGTTGTAACTTTTGGATAACGTTAGTAAATTTTCGTTAAGTCCAATGACTGAACAATGACCCTTTTACCCATTCCTTCACGCTGGAACATGTGCATTTGCTGCACCCCTTAAATATCAGCACATATAAACATTGAAGTGTGCCATTCACTGGATAACAGAGCTGAATATAGCATCCAACATGTTGACCCATCACCTTATGTACAAGGATAAACAAGAATACATATTATGAAACATTTATTTCTTTGTTAGAAAACATGACAACAAATCAAAACAACTCTGTCCCTCACAATGTGCAAGAACTAACACTCAGCAAAGCCTGTCATCAACAAATTTACAAATCATTCATCTGTAAAAAAATACACTATCCACTCAGAAAAATATCCGAACAGTTACAATTTGTTCAACACTGGAAGACTTCCTGTACAGTCACAGTTACTTGCACAGCCGTGAAGTTATTTAGCACATACACGTATTGACATATCAATATGATTGATATATGTCCTTCAGATAGCACTTTTTTGTTTTTCTTTCTTTGGCTACAATGTTTATGAATATGGTAAGAAAATCCTTTGTATTTTTTAATGCAATGTCTAGACATCTGATCAGAATATATGTCCTTCAGATGATGATGACAAATGCCTTGTTTGTAGCAGTGTTTTTGTATCTGGCCAAAACATATCCTTCAGGAAAATCATAGCACATATGCATTGCACGTAAAAAACATTAACCTATTACATACTTCACTGGCCTTTATCCGTGTTTACACCACTGCATGTGGATCAATAAGTATTTCCATAATTACACTTCATCCCCTAAGTTTGGAAAAAAGATTGGCGTTCAATTAAAACCATGTTTTTTTCTTGGTGTTGTATTCAACCTTTTGGATTATTTGATTATTTTCAAAATGCATTCATGACTGAGTTCCATGTTAGCCGTGTACAGAAAGAACACCAAATTTCTCAAAATGTCAAGCAAAAAATGTCTATAGCTCTCTCATCAGTGCATACATGTTACAAAAAAGCAGTGATTATGTACCAAGGTGTACAGTCATGAAAGTAATTATACACTATTTCTATTAATATTAAGGAAAGGAAACTGCTTAGACCCTAATAAACCAAGGAAGTTGCTTACTCACAGCCACAAGTATCTCTCAGCTATTTCAACAGTGTTAAAACATCATGCCCATATCTTGATACACCTTCAGGTTAACTGTGGTGTTATTGTTTATCACAGATAACAGAACCAACACGAAATTATACATCAAGTGACACACCCTATGTTTAAAGCAATAGATTTCTAAGTACAGAGGTTCTGATTGCCCAACTTATATAAAAGGTGCTAAACTTAACCCTTGTTCAGTAGTATATTATTAATGACTAAACAACAAGCACATGTGCAAACACATACCACACATGGCCACTTTAATGTAGTTCTCCAATTTAATATCAAGCTATTTCACTACTTTTAATGAAGCTCAAGCTACCCCTTTTGAATATAAGTGTAATGAAAATCACAACATTATTGTAAAAGGCCAAGGACAATGTTTGACATTGTGTTTAAAACAGCAAATGAAACAACAAGCACAAAAACCTGAACAGCTGTTGGTTAAAAAACCCAACTCATACCTTCTTCAACAAAGCATAACATTACGGATGCTGTAAGAGTGGTTTTATGCCTCTTTTGCAATTTTCCAGCCATATCACAGCCAGGCACATTAGATCTGGGCTTCACACATTGTACCCATGTTGAGAGTAGAACCTGGGACATCCGCCTGAAGAGCCGACGCTTAAACCATTTGGCTACCCAATTGCCCTTTCAAAGCAGAGATATAGACAACAGAAGTTGCTGTCTGACATCTGTATGAAGGCATGGTCTCATACTACTTTCTGTAGAAAGGAGAGCTGAATAATATCTGAATAAGATCACACAAATACTAAAATACTCTCAGTCAATGATGAGGAATTTTGCATCTTATTTGTGATGGACATATCAAACATTCATGATGAAAAATACAAACAACTTGTATTTGACAGTGTTTACCATAATCACATTCAGGCATGGCACCATCACAACCTGACTGCAATGGGTGAGACTATAGTTTAGTAACCCTGCACAGGCAATCGTTGACTCTGGTTTGTACTTTGTACGGTTTCCTGTCTGAAAATGACAGATATTTTGCCATTCCCATACCTGATGAATAACAAATCAGCCATGTATAAAACCAGAGACCATATAATCGGTATATGGTCTCTGATCAAACACAATTTTCTCTTCACACAGAGACCATATATGGTCTCTGCTTTACATGAAAATGTTTATGCTCTTTTCTTGAAGGTTAAGACATGTATGTTCTATGGTCTAGTGCCCATTTTCCATTCAGGACATATAAACCCTGTGTGAAACTGACCCTGAGATATTGCCTGTGTGTAGTTAGGCTGAGCAGGAACTTGAATCAGCTGGCATGGAAAGACTCAGTAAAAGGGCCAAAAATTTGAATGCAATCTTATTGAGCTTGTCCCACATTAAATCTAATTATGTACCATATAAATGATGAGGGGAACAATGGAGTAGATTAGTTACACAGTGTAAACATACTGCTCAACATTTAATAAAGACCACACCTTTGACTACAGATGTCTGTTTTGGTCCTTAGCAAATATTGAGTGGTACTGGAACATTTTTGAAGTCTCATTATATTGATTTAGATACCTGTTGAATAATTAACTTGTGTCACTATTAGAATGATTACTTAGTATTAGTCAAAATCTAAACTTGACAATTATTGTGCCACCTGAAAGCTGTTAGTATTACAATGTGTTATGTAGAACACTTAGAATACCAAATTAGTTGAATAAATATAACTATGATAAATTGTCTTTGAATAGAAAATAGTATCAGAATGAGGTGCATTTTTTTCTCATCTCTTAATTTAACACTTTTTGGTTCACCTGATGGTATACTTGTGTGATTCAAAGTGACAAAATCATTATACTGCTTTTGAAAGAGATTGTTTCCCCCAAACTTGGGCTTGGATGCTTTTCAGTCTCATCAAATCAGATCTTTTACTCTAATGTAATAGCACTTGAAATGAAGGATGATGGGTTTTTAAGCCGATCATATGTCAATTTTCTAAACAATTTGGCTTTGTACAAATGAAAACCCCACAATATTCAGATTCCTTTGATTTGAAGTGTTGATACCAAAACCCTCAGAAAACATGGCGTGGAGAAAAAACCAAGCACATTATGGTGCAGCCTGATGCATCCATATTCAGAAGTTGTTGCATTTTGTTTTCCAGATACAGAAATCAGATTTGCTAGGCTGAAGTGTTTGTATCCTCGTACTGAGAAAGCGAATGTTGTGCTGCCTCGATGGTTCGCGGATGTTACCTTAGGAGGTGAAGACAGGAATTGTTAGGAGTAAAGGATCTCATATTGATGACATTGGGATGCTTATAAAGTCAATGCCAGTACATCTTTGTTCATTTTGTTCTATAAAACTGTGTAGAACAGCACTGCTACAGAACTAAGTTGAATGCCCATTAAACAGTTACAGAGTTATGTATCAGTAACATATTTTCCCAATTAAAGAATTGTACAAAAAGTTTACAGAGACAAACTTGATATTCCTTTGGATTATCTTCTGGTTAAGCTTTAATCCTCTAAATCATTACCATTCAATTTTTTATGGCACCAAGACATAATGATTACATATAATCCTATTAGCTAGGCACAGGTGAAATATCGTGAACTGGTAACAAGTCAACATGTCAAACATGTAAGCAACCAAGCTGAACTACCTGCATAATTGTATATATCCTAGGAATGATACTGTGGCTAAACAGAATGAAACACAAGACAGATTCCTCTTGTCTATGTCACTGACATAATCAGCTGTACAGGGACTTGGAGGTGTGTGTGTGTAAAACCTCTATTTTGAGGGTTCCTTCCTCTTGAGCACCAGTGGGCCAACATTATCACCCATTTCATCGTTGTGCTTATTGTGACTGCCATCACAGAGGGGGAACTGAAACAAGATGCATGCATATATAGTTAATCATGTTCTTCAAGAGAGCACTTTGTCTTTTAAGGGGATAAAATAGGTTTCCGTGCCCTATGGTTTTGTAAGATCTGACTTAAGTGAAGGGTGGTTAGTGTGCTTGACATGGTCTAATTGTGGCAATTGTTCCTTGTCAACAAACACTGGATGTATTGCCCAGACTTGACTTCAAGATGGATAAGGAGAAATGAAATTGGGTTTTAAACCATGTACATTATTACTGCACTTACATAGTGGCATGTAAATATTGAAGGAATATAGATAGAATATTGATGATCCACACTATGTTTAAATAAGGTAATCAACTGGTCTTTTATAATAGGTGAGTGAGTGAGTATAGTTTACGTCACTCAGCAATATTCCAGCTATATGGCAGCAGTCTGTAACTAATCAAGTCTGGACCAGACAATCCAGTGATCAACAGCATGAGCATCAATCTATGCAATTGGGATACAATGACATGTGCCAACCAACATTTATGATAGGTGTCAGAGAGCAGGTCATCAAGAAGTGTAACATATGACAAGGGCCCTAATACACTGTAAAAACATGTTTTTGCAAAGAGTGCAAAAGCATTAACTGTAATATCATTCAGAGTGGTAATTAAATGCATTTGATAAACTGAGTATAAGATTTATAAAATAAAGCAATGCTAAATCAGTTTAATGCTGCTTTGAAACACATTTCTGCTACAACACAGTCTTGGACTAATGGGTTAACATTGTTGCGTAACCCATGGGAGAAAAATATGAGGACAGAATGAAGGGTGAGGTAAGGTGAAATTGGGTTTTACGTCGTGCTTGAGGATATTTCGCTCATATGACGACGTGCATGTGTGTGTATGTGTATGTGCAGCTGCTTGTACTAGCCCAGACTTAAGCTGGTTTTATAGTGCTAGCCCACTGAGATACCATGCCGCAGTGAAGCATGGATACCCCACTCAGACACATTGTACTGACTCCGAGCCGACCAGTCCTTGTTGTACCCATAAATGCCGAGAGCCAGGCAGGAACCAACAAGTACCATATTTTAACGTCTTTTGGTATGACGCGGTCGGGGATCGAACCCGCAACCTTCCTCTCCGGGCAGACGCTCTAACCACTACACCACGGAGGCGGTCCAGAATGAAGGGTAACGGAGGGCGTCAAATCCACAATCAGCAGATCACAGCTTGTCACATTCGCCGCAGTTGCCAAGAAGTTGTCTCAATCATGTTGTCAATAGGTCATATGTACGGTACTGTACCACAATCATTGATCACAAAGCAGTTTTTATATCGTGAGCCAGCAAACTTTATTCAACCAGCAAAATTAGGGTTGCCCTTAAAGGTTTTTAAGTTATTTCCTAACCATGACTCTTACCTTTTTAGAGAGCCAGCATCGACAGTAGCTAACTTTGTCCCCTAGATCCTCAATGTCAACCATATTGACAACTTTAGCATTTTCCTTCTGTATCTTGAGATTAACTGGGAAGTTCTTCTTTTCCACTTTGGGCTTGAAGGCTTGTACAGTAACATAGACTATGAGTGATACAGTTCCTACAAAAGGTACCAAGGAAAGCCAGTCTTGACCTGAAGAAATAATATAATCATGATAATCAGTTGGAATTTAAATATGGTAAATTATTGTAGGACTTTGATACAATAGAATATTTGGCCTATCTTTAGAATACAGCACCACAAACTTTACAAATTACATCACAATACCTTATGATTTAATTTGTGAAACTTTTCTACCAAAACCAATGCTGTGACGTCAGCATTGTTTATTGGTTATTGAGGGAGCATAAGCTCCTCTCATATATATATTTTTTTCATCCAGTAATTTGCATCATTAGAGGAATGGAGTTTATTTAGTATATTTATTGAAGCAGTAAGAATGCATTACACCGGACATGTCAGCCATTTTTGTGCTGCTTTGATAAATTTATTTTATTTAGTAGGGTTTTTTTGACAGTTTTTGATAAGGTTTAGGGGTTAGGTTTATGTTTTGGGTTCAAAGAAAATATTGCACAGGGAAAGTAAATTTAGGCCTCCACCTGACACTTTGGGTACCTACACAAAGTAAATGAGTGAAAACTGCTTCAAGGGACAGTACTTCAAGTATCATTTAGCAGAACTCTCTCCTATTACTGTTTTAGATGTCAACACATACAGATTAACTTTAACATGTGATAAAATATCAACGGTCATTGAGAATTAGAAAACATGAACAACATTTTTTAAATATCTTCTGTTTGCACTGGTAGTATGGCTCCATGTGCTGGCATAAAAGCCCTGCAGGGAGCTGATGATAGTTATTCAGATGGGTAAAGGTAAACTGTCTTTCACCTCATTGTCCCATATGTAAAATCATGCAAAATAATATGACAAACAAATGGAAAAGACATGCATTAGGCCCATGTGTTGTTTCAGAATACATGCATTTATTCACCAACAAGAGAAAAGTCTACTCTTGTGATAAGCCAATACCCACATTGGGGTTACTACACCTGAAACTTCTCTCAATGGATAAGTGAGTGAGTGAGTGAGTGAGTAACTTTTAGCAATATTCTCAATGGATAACCAAGGCAAGATGGATAAGGCCAAGTAAAGGATTTATCAGCCATTGTTTCCAAACGATCCTTCAGAATGGTTGATGCAGGGTTGTTTTTTTAAGATGAAAGAATTTCTGCTAGGGAGTTACTTTTATACTGTGAACTAATTTATTTACACTGCCGACTGCAATTTGTGTCCTTCCCAAATAGATACTATAGTCTATAAAAAGAAAGATTCTTTTGAATCGGCAAACTTCATGATCAACACCACATGGATGAACAAGTTTTTGACGGAGGTGATTCTTTCTAAAAGCTGTAAAATATGAATTTTAAATGTATATGGAGGCAAGACGTTTACTGACATAACACTAGCCAAGGTAACAACGGGGACTGCATAATATGTTAAAAGTAGTAACAACAGCGACATGAGATGACAGCCAGCTCATCAGTTATGGAAATCAAATGATGAAATGTAATGAACATTTTATTTCCGTTTTAAACCTGAGGAACCGCCCAGCAACCAGTGCCGCGGTGCATCATTCACGGTAGACGTGACACCCAGAAAGGGCAACTATTCTTGAAGAGCAGGTTAAACCCTTGGGCTGCTTGTCAGTTTAGACCCTTTCGCTGTCTCCTCATCGTAGACTGTATACTAACCCGACAAACTTGCAATACCACTAACAGAGTCTGGTATTGGCAGGTTTTTCAAATAATTAGGCAACGAAACTCGAATCAAGGCTGATACAGACTCCATCTTGACACCTTGAGTGAAGACGAGGTTTTCGGAATGTTTAAAATACGAACTGCATCCGATTGAACCACAAACGAACTACGTATGTGGGAAAAATAACTTATAAATGTGTCATGTTCTATCTATGATATACATCTTTGTCAACATGTAAGCATTGATTAATTATGGTGACAATAACATATATTCGAAATCATACCAAATTATAAAATACTTATAAATATACATAATTTCAACAGAATTAACTGTTTTACAACATTTCAAATATAGATGCAAAACATCACAAACTATTACCTGGAAAAGGAAGTACATGAAGAATACTATCCATAAAAACCCGATGGTTCCTTTTACTGTGCATTAACAACCTGAATATAGCTAGTTGAACAGCGTTTCGTCAACGAAACATCCTCTTCTTCCACAATTAAATTTACCACGAGGAGAGAACAATTACATGAAAAAAGTGTGTCGTCGGAGCGATTCCAGCCATCAAAGTCCATTCCGAAAGTAGTCATCTACAATGGCGACATTGTAACAATTAGTGAGTGAGTGAGTTAGTTTTGTTTTACGCCGCTTTCAGCAATATTCCAGCAATATCATGGCGGACACCAGAAATGGACTTCACACATTGTACCCATGTGGGGAATCGAACCCGGGTTTTCGGCATGACGAGCGAACGCTTTAACCACAAGGCTACCCCATCGCCCCTCATGTAGAATTAACAATGACATCTTTTTATCATCGAGACGAACAGATAATCCATTTATCAACGCGCATATTTGTGATTTATTCTGTACAATATAAACATTCGTTTAATCTGGTTTCTTATGCAGTTATTAAATCCATGATCAAGGCTATGATTGTCCATCTCTGTGACCAAATAATTTATGTGTTTGACAAAAATAATATGCTCGAGTTGGTTCAGTATGAATTCTATACTTGTCATGGGACCTGCATTTCATAACCCGAGTCGCCAAAGAGCGAGTTGTAGGTGTCAGATTAAAGGCTAAAACATTAAGGGACAAACCGTGAGTCACCAAACCAGACATTTTCATTGTGAACTCCAGTGATAAACCTGATTCAAATTTCTAAAAATATGTTTTTTATCTGCTTCTAGTCAGGTGTGAAAAGAACGTTAATTAACTCTATATATTAGTAGTAGTAGTAGTATTATTATTAGTAGTAGTAGTAGTAGTAGTATTTTGAGGGGTCGGGCTCGCATGCCAGGTTGATGCCTATCATCGTATCAGAATTGTTTAGGTCGGTGCTCAAGACGTCAATCACTGTAAATATTTTGTAAAGGCGGAACTTGCAACATGCGGCTCATGTTTTATCACCGGTATAAATGATTCCAACTAACAACACGTCTCCATTTCACATAAGGTACTATGCATAATGATGGTCTTGGCGCCTATGTCGCTTTCTGTGTTTTCTCGGGCTCTGCAGATATTTGAATGTATTCTGTGGCCATTACTGCTGAAACGTTTTGGATGTGGATATGACACATATGCGATATGTATATATATGTTATCAGAACTTGCACAATTTCATAAATAATGATATTATATATATCTCGATTCGCATTTACAAAAGCACTCTGTATTTTCATGAACGTTCAACCTTTAAAAGGATTCATGACATTTCATAAATGTGAACAATATCCCTGGATGTAAATGAATAATGAATGAATGAATGCATGAGACTGGTACATGTGTTGTCTGGTCATTCACGTACCCCAGTTCATCATAGTGTATTCGTTTCCAATTCTTGTGTTCATTTGAGATCATGCATATCAAGTACAGATCCTGTTTAAATGCCCACATGTTTCTTTCTGTCAACAAGTACCATTTCTGGTGTCCCCGCCGTGCAAACCGAAACATGAGTCTCATTAACCTATGCAGACAATGACCTACTTTTCAGCCGATCCGAATTTTCTCGTGTGAAAGTGAAAATAGACATCACAAACAACTATGGTTACACTGAAATCCAATTCCTTGTTTCATAAGAAAATGGTATTTACAAATGAATTTTAATTGTAAACTTTAATAACATCGTATTTTTATATTCTATGGCGAGGTGTAGGCAGCATGACTTTAACTAAGACATGACAGACTGACCCAGTTTGATGAGGTCGTAAAATGATTCACAATGCATCTGGCTTACTGGTTACACCTGTTATATGTTTTTGCGCTTATTCAGTATAGTTCTGTAAAGCACAATGCGATTGATATAATATCAAGTGCGTACCAGACCGCCAAACTTTTCTAGCGGCAGAGCCTCGTTTTGAGATGTCCACGATTTCCAGGTTTCTGTTTGTCAGAGCTCGCTGTACGACGGAGCACGCTGCACGACGTGTTTGCAAGGATTAGATGGAGCGTAGTATTGCAATATACAAGTGCTTAGATGTATCAAATAATACTGATTAATATTTATGTATCCAGTTAAATGAATTAGTCTCAAAATTCTCGACTGGTTAGTGTACTAAGTTGCGCAATAGGACGGAACCCAGTCAACAGGCAACGAAACTGTTTATGTAATCAATGTTTTGACTTGTATTGCTGGAAGATTGCTAAAAGCCGCGTAAAACCATACTCAGTCAGTCAGTCAACAAGTAATCCAACTGAAGAGAGAGTATGTATGGAACAGCAGGCGACACAATGTCTTTATCATTACGAATGTAGTCTACCTTACAGTCCCTGAAACAGTATTCTCCCTTCCGTTCAGTGCTGCAAAATCTGTAACTGAAGCAAGTCTAAATTGTCCTCAGGATCTCCGGTCTCGCCAATTTAAGCTAGGTTCCTTTTCAATTTAAGTAGTTATTTGTTTCAGTGAATTGTCACAGACTAAGCGTTTGTCCATTACGCACAGGTCAACCAAGAAATGAACGGGTTATCCGATTGTGAGTTGATAGCAGCTGGTTAACAGCTGAACCGCTCAGCCAGTTCGTTTACTTACTGTTTCCCTTTTGACTTTACAGTGTTGTTTTTAAATACACAATTGGTTATTTTAGATAGATTTATTAAGATAGCCCTGATTCCTTCTGAAGGGGCGTGCAAAATCACTCAACACTCCTACATTGTTGACCATCTTTTGAAACAGTAATTTAGTTGAACTTCCACTTCTCAACAATCACAGAACAGTGAGCACTAACGAACTATGTCCTGAAATCCATTGAAGCGCACACACAATACGCACTTGCTGTCAAAACGAAAGAAAGGTCGTACGTTTTACTTCTGCATGGCGGAACTTTTTTCGCGAAGGAATATAGTGCCAAAATTAGGCATTGATTTTGCCTGGTGTATGGTGACGAATGTCACTAAATATCACCATCTATCCATCAATATTATCTGTACAGTACATGGGAAAAACAAAATGCTTTTTCTTCTTTTATATGAACCGCTAAGAAAGAAGCACCGTGAGTGATATATTCATACGCTGGACAAGTGAATCAGCTGCAGTTGTCTGAAAACACTGACACTAATCTGTGAAAACTGAAGAAAATGGCTTTGAAACGAATTAAAAAGGTAACTATTTTCATATTTATGGCTAAAGGAACGTAGTCCAAGTCGACACATGTTGAAAAACAAGGAAAAAGATGGTGATCGAATTTTTTTCTTCCCTATGCCTGACAAACAAGCCCCATCCTAATGTCATTTCCACAACAAAACGAAACGAAATCTTGTTCTGTTCACACAGTCTGACAGACAATATTTACATATGAAACACCACTCAAATCGAATATACTTGACCTGTAGGTGAAAGATTTGTACTATGAATATTAAATGTTTATCGATTTCTGATCTAACGTGTCATGAATTTTTTGTTTGTCTTTATCAATGACAATGCTATGTTCAATCATAAATTCAACAATAGTAAAAGGCAACAAAGCATCTTCCACTACTCATGCTAATAGTAACGATATAATCATGGTGACTGTTACCCTTATTGTGATGTTACCAGTTATGGTCATATAATTCAATTGATTTCTATCATATTTTTATATGTAATTTAAGGAATATATCATGTTTTGTGCAGTTTTTCAAATTTTGATAAGTGCAGTGTTACCAGATTGAAAATAAGGCGGAATAATGAGTTAATCTAATCATCCAATCTAATCAGTCAACACATTACCACAGAATGGCAGGCAGGGTCACATATAATCAGTGGGAAAGATTTCCGCCCATAACCCCCATGTTTTTTTTTATCATTCTATGCCTAAGATTTTATAGTAAGAATAGATGTTTATTTATAGAAACCCTAACCCTAAACCTAACAATGCTAAATCTAAACCTTAACCCCTTGAAATCATAATAAACAGAACACATTTCAAGCGGGGGTTACGGGCGGAACTCTTACCAATCAGTGCTCATTTACCTGGTGATCAGCAGTAGTACCTTGATGTGTATCCAAGGTAGCCATATTTCAAAAGTGGCCCTGAGTTTCTTTGAAAAACATGGTTGAATTACTTATAAGATATGACATAAGCTAACCCATACTGTTGCACTCAACTATCTCTGGGGATTGTAAAGACATAACCTAACATTAGAGATTATGAAGAGCTGTTTGATGAGAAAGGAGTACCTGATCCTGAAGATTGTAAAAGGGTGCCTTATGAGAAAGGAGATGGCTAATGGCTAAAGACAGAGTTCAGGGTGACCAGCCTTAACCCTAACACGACTAACCCTAAGGAGCAAATTTGCACTTTACGCTGCTCCTGGTCAATTGCAGTCTTGCTTTCATTTTCATGATTATAATATCAGCTCACGTGTGTTCCATATTTTTTTACCTCTGAAAACAACATGGATGATCACTGGCAATGGCACTATGAAACAGGATTCACATCACTCATGTCATTGTACACGTAAATAGGTAAACATGGTTAGAAATGCAGATTCATTGATACTGTCCAATATTGGCGATACCATAAACCTGTGTTGCGTGTTGACATTAATCAAAATACCAAGTCATGATACACATTGTACTATACTTAGCACAATGCTAAATCTGCACTGTTATTTGATTGAAATGCACCATGCTCCTTTCTGGACAGATTTAATGAGGTTTTCTTCTACAAGCTTTTGTGAAACCAGTTTTATGCAGGCAGCTTTATCGTGCTTAACATTTTTATTTTTGATTGTGGTTGGGGAGTGTAAAGGTAATGCTAGCCCAAGGGAAGACACATTAGTCATTTCCAAATGCAAGAATACAGAATGCTGAATCTCCAGATTTGGGTACAAAACATCTACTGTTTTCGACAAATAAACACCTTGGAAGCTAAGAAAATTGATAAAGCGGGCACTTGTTAGAAGCATACACAGAAATGTAGTGATAATAAGAAAAATTGTTAAACGTCAGTGAAACTTTAATACTTCCTTCAAGGCAATTATGAAGCCCCATCTGCACTTATATCAGTTAAATATACTTTTAATAAAGGTAAGGAAACATGGACTCTCATGCAAATTTTTACTCTTGAGAAGGGGTTGCCTCTATTTACAGATTAGTTCAGAGGCTGATCAGAGAGTGATTGTTGGAGCCAAGTGCTTAATACAGCAAATATGTTACTGTTTAGTCCCACTGGATATTTACTTGTCTCAGACTACAAGACTAGTTGTCATGTCTAACTCTGTTAACTTGAGTAGCTACAAGGTGGGTTATTGCAAATATCTTGAATATTATAACTATGTCAATTTTTAAAACGGTACAGACATTATTTAATTGATGGGTAGGCATATTACAGATGCAGAAACAGGTATATATTTTCAATGCAACAATACTTTCGGTGAATAGTAGTAGCCCTGCTGTCATCTTATGTCGATGTGTCTACAGGGTACAATTTCAGTATATTTATCTACCTGCACCAGGTGCAGCCCAGTGAATTAATAAGGATGTCATCAAAGTATTGGCTGCACCATGTTGTCAACAATCTTGTTGCTGGCAATGACAGCAGATGATAGTTTATTGACAGTGAGGGGGATATTCATGGTCAATTTCACTATCTCCCAAAAAGTTCACATTACTCGATGTCTGAAATAATGTTTTGGTTGATGGTTGCTTTTTAACTGACATTTTCATTTATAAATTTCATTTATTTTCTGCTTGGTAAAATCAGCTTGTCCACCACTACAAGTGATGTATTCACAGTGATCTCTGACTTGTTTTTAAATGTTACATGATTGTGTACAGTCCGTTTGATTTCATTTGAGACCGATGAATTGCTCACTAACACAAAATCTAATAAATGCAACAAAACCAAATTTTGCACAGTCACATGAAATTGATAGACCAACTCTGATGATTTGTCTCATAATTTTGGACACCCAATTAAAAAGATAATTGTTTTGTTGTCACTTTTTGCTATTTCTTACGAGGGGACCACTTGCTTGTAGAACAGCCAGGTGTGCGAGTTGCACATGTGAAATTGAAATTTCACAACACACGATTGTTGATTATCCTCCGGTCATTGATTCTACTGATACACACGAGTCATTTAATGTTGAAATTTACACCACCAATACTGCTGCCATCCACTTGAGATAAAAACTGTTACCAGCACTGGGTGCAACCTGACAATTAGTCTGTCTTTCAGTCCCTGAACCACATTATTTTCCCTGCTCCCAAGCCCTCCCTGCAATGCTAAAGCCCTAAATGAAGCAAGTCTAGATTTTCTCAGGTTCTTAATCTCCCATGTCGCTGTGGCTCCTTTTCAATTTAAAAAACAGAGAGAGAGAGAGACTAAGCGTTAGTCTACCTGACAATAAGAATTACCTGCCCTAGCAATAGTTTACCTTTACTGGTGCAGCCTGGATATTATAAAATCAATCCTTAAATGTACTATCATTTCCTGAACGTAATATAGCAGTGATATAGTAGGACGGAGAGCTGTATCAGGAACGTGAACATAAGTTACCATCCCTACTTTGTAATGCTGAAAGACTTCATAATGATGATATTTTTTGCAGCATTGCTGGGTCAGATTGTTGCCTCTGCTAAGTGGCTGTATTGATCTTTTACCAAGTAATGTGTTCTGTGTGGTTAGAATGTCATGATGGTGGATGTGAAATTGATCTATGTAGATGTAGGACTGCCTATTAACATAGATCATAGTGATGGATAATCGTTAACTGAATGTCAATAGTTTAACGATAAATTTATGAGCTGTTCATTAGAATATATAAATTATCGATAAATATCAGAGAAGTAACTTTGTGCAAAAACGCAAAAACAATCCGAAAAAAATCAACATTTCACATCATTGGTAAGTTGGAACATATTTTGGCTTATATTACTAAACAAACATTGTCCTGAACATAATTTAGAATCAGCCCATGAATAAAGACCTAATTTTCTGTGTTGTCTGTGTAAATTGTAACAATTATCACAATAGTTAATACAGAAGATTATTGATGACATTATTTTCAAATTGATAATCATTAGTAAGTTTTCCTGTTGACAACCGCCGTGATATTGCTGGAATATTGCTAAAAGCGGTAAAAACCAAACTCGCTAGCTCCTGTTGACAATCATTCCAATTTCCGATCATTTTAGCCAGCTTTATGTAGATGTATATATGTTCACAGGATGATCTATTTGAATCTTTTGATCACACTCACAGCACCAGTGACAAACATTCCTGGAGACGTCATGTGACTGTTCATGTGCATGTAATAATTGTGAAATACATCACCACAGTGTGAGACTTTGGTTCAGTATGTTAACATTATGTACATTGTTTTGGGATATTGATTATTTTCTTATGTATTACAACAATTTTATTGATGGGTACATCTCATTTCCGGGATGTCTACTGAAAACAAAAAAATTAATTTCTAAACCTGGCATGATCATCTGTCAGACCCTCCTGGATAAATGTAACTGTTTGAAGAACAAAAATAGTATAAGATTTTATGCCTTCTACAACATCAAAATCCTTTTCTTCACAATTGCAGGAACTCCTAGATTTTGAGAAAGACCCCCCAGCTGGTTGTTCAGCTGGAGCAGAAGATGGAACTGATTGTGAGTTTTTGTACCAACTTCCAGATTGCATCACTATTGGTCATGTGAATGCTGTAAATCTGTAAAGTTTTGTGAGCATGGTTTTTACGTACAGAACTATGAATCTAGAGGTCCCCCAGTTACTAATCTCATTGGTCCTTATATGAAATATGATAATCCTGTAAGTAGTGCAAAGAAATGGTGTTGTGAACTGGTCAAATAAATGTCATTTAAAATCCTTGGTAATCACTTTATATGTTGTTTTCTATAAATCTGTAAATACTGAACATGCTGAATGCACATTTCTTTTGTTCCAAAAACCATTGGCACATGGCATTATGTCCAGTTTGGCATTATAACCAGGGTATTATATAGGCAGGAAATCCATTCTGGCAAAAACATGGCACTATATCCAGGGTGGCATAAAAACCAGGGTGCACTGTACTATGCCCTGGCTATGTGTGTAACACTGGACACCATTATTTCTCATCATGTTGTCAACCATTTTCCGTTTTACAGTATGTTGTTTAATGTGTGGTATTTGTTTCGTTAATATGATACAGGGGTTCAAAAATCCCATCGCCTGATGCCCGGGACAAGTCAGTTTTCATTTCGGGCAATCAAATAATGGTATCTTACTTGTCCGTGGGCTACTAGATAATTTCCGCTTATGGTTTGAAACTGCAAATAAACTTGGATTTAATTTCATATCTGCTCAAAAAGTAGCTTTTAAATTTCGCAATGATAATAAAGTAGAGTTATCTTTCTTTGCTATTTATCACTTTTCAATAAATAGTCCAGTAAACATTAACATCAAATACCATGTTGATTTCTTCTTTCATAATTACATCATCATAATTATGTCATAAAATCAGGGCAAGTTGAAAATTAGTCAGGACAAGTTACTTTCTTAAAGTCACTTGCCCTGTGACAAGTGGCTTTTTAAAAACAATTTGAACCCCTGTGATGTCACTGGCTATCGTGAATTGTATCATGTAATGTAATGTTATTTTACTGTTTCAGTATATCGCTGGCAGGCAGTTATACAGGGTCCAGTAAGTTGATAATCTATGTCTTGAGCTTGTACCACTTCTTACTTTTAGTCGGTGTGGAACACGTACAACTGATGCTTACACAAATGATGTTAAGTAAGACTTGTTTTTGTCACTTTGACTTACAAAAAGGTGTTGAATCACCATTATCAACATCTCAAAGAAATCAAGAGAGAAGAAAGGTAATTTCAACTCACTTAAACATGTTGAATTCTGTATATTTGCTTCTATTTTCGAGCCAGCTTTTCATTAGTATGAAAATGTTTCCTTGCAAATGTGAAGGCCCTGCTATAATTGTCTGACATTCATGTACATACATCTTGGTTGTAGGAGGAAAGTCCTTATGATGGTGGTGTGTTCAGTCTCTCGATCCAGTTTCCAACAGACTACCCCTTTAAGCCTCCTAAGGTAATCACTGTAGTAACATGTGCATGTGAGCATCATGCCAAGTACCGATGGTGATCATCGGGGTAAATAGTTCATAGCTTCTGATACAGATTGCAGGTGTGCCAGCCATTATGATTTTGGCATAACAATTGCTGTTTCGAGCCTTCAATGTTTTCTCTCAAAATATATTGTGTCCACAAGGACCCACAGGATTTTAATTTGGGGGTACAGGCATCCCTCGCCATAACGCGGGTCTTGGGAGTCCATGGATGACCCCGTTATTAGACACCAGCGTTATAAGTAACGATTACATAACGCGGAACAAAGGCCAAGTAAAATCGTATTTTCCATGGACATAACAAAACTGCTATTTCGTGTATTGTGCCCAGTCAAAACTATATCGTATTGTTGGAGGTGAAAAAAAAAACCAAACTGTGTAAATCAAAAATAGATGTATGTACATGAAACTTGCAATCAAACATCACAAGACATGATAATTCAATTGTTGTTCCTGTCATGCTACCTGTTATTCAACTAAGCCGGAAATAGCAATCAGCTGGGCACACATCGATGTTTTGATCCAATGTACCGGTGATTCCGTTATAACGATCCGAAAATATAACATCGAAGAATTTCTATTCCATTATCAGAATAATTGATATGTCAAGCAGTTATTCTAACAGAGATCTTATATATTGCTATCGTATAAGTATAATGCATGTTTTCTACGAACATATTTAACATAATAATAAGCATTGCTAAGCACTTTGGGATACCTGGCTGGATACATTTTACGTAGGAGATAGTTTGACAAGTCACCGCTGACTTCCCGCGGTACGTGCCACTTTGATTGTAAAAAAAAAATGTTGGCAATTAATTGTCAAATATGACTTCAATAAGTCAATAACGCGGGTCTTGGGGTCAATGGATGACAAGGCTGTAATCTGTTCGTGATTGCTGAGAAAAATGTGAAATTGGTGTTATCGCGGTAGGCGCGAAAAACGGACCCTCACGAATGTGGTAAGCGGGTGATGTATGGAATGAGGTAATGCCATTTCACTCACGGTTTCTCCGTTGTTATTGTAGACAGTTTTAATGAATGAAAATGGGATTGAAGTTGTAAGTACTCGGCTGATAATCGACATGTTTCGCTGTTCATCAATTATTATTGAAAAAGACCCTGCATGTTTTAAGCATCTGAAAAAACATGGATATGTACGATAAACACTGTTAATTGCAATCCGCCCTGAATTTCACTACTTTATAACGTGATTAACCAGAGCTCAAGAGCGGATTTGTTGATGTGCTATTTTCGATGACGTGAATATGTGTGATCACTGGGCAACTTTTTTTTATGGGAGCCACGGATTACCCCGCGGTTTAACCGAATCCGCAGTATCGCGAAGAGCGTTATTGCGAGGGATGACTGTACTTCATCAAATTTCTGCGGCCAATACACAGGATTCACCTGTCCTGTAAAACCCTGCGTTTAAATGCAGAATATTTTGAATCAGTATAAAATAATATAAGAATGAAGGTATTCACTTATAATTCATTCTCTTTTTCAGCTTGCGTTTTTAACGAAAATCTACCATCCTAATATAAACAGTAACGGAAGTATCTGTCTAGATATACTCAGGTCAAAGTGGTCTCCAGCTCTAACAGTATCAAAAGGTACTTATTATGATTGAATTAATTCGGTTCTAGCACTTCACAGAGCGCGCACCTGTCTTGCTTACAAGAGATGTAGGCCGTCTGGCATACACACTGTGTCTCTGACTCATTAACATAGAATCCTCTTTACTGTTAAGTTTGAAGATGATGAATCAGTGAAAGAAGAGATTCCATGTATCCATGCTTGCTGTAAGAGCCAAAGTATGATCCTGAGGATGGTGTGGTCAGGTTCAGTAACTTGGTTACCTGGTTAACAGATCCACTCATCTGTTATTGGTTCAATATAATTTTTCTGTTTTGTTGATCCTGAGCAGTTTTGATTGACTCTTCAGATATATGTGCCAGTGTTGGATTAAAACATGTGTTAGATTTTTGTATCAGTCTCTTCCTCTCTCACATACTTGTATCTGACCCGTGAAGATCCATGTTAGAATTGGTCTTCTTCAACCCATGCTTGTCGTAAGAGGCAGCTAATGGGATCGGGTGGTCAGACTCACTGCCTGGGTTGACACGTGTCTTAGTGTCCCAATTGTATAGATTCATGCTGCGTTAAATAACACTCAATCAACATATTTGTATCAAAAGCGAAGCCCATTTCTGTAGCCTCCAGGATATTGTTGGAATGTTGTCTGTGTTTCAATGCTTATTGGTAATTGGTAGTAATTTATTGGTAAAATAGGCTATGTAGCATTAACAATTAACCCTGTCAGTCCAAAATAGTGAATTGTATTAATATTTTAATATATTGTCTGTCTCGGGACCTGGTAAATTTATACCAGAACAAAAACACTGAATTTTTAAACTTATCCTATCTCACGGTATGCACCTCTCTTCTTCTTCTACGACCATGTGTGGAAACGTGCTGTAGGCTAAGTTGAATCAAATCTTACTGGCCTCTGACCCGCCCTGACCTCTGCCCCCACTCCGACATCAGCACCAGTCAATCATCTCCGTAAGCGTGCAGCTCGCTCAGATGATCATGTGACTACCTGTGCCTGTCATTCTCTTTCTTGTCGCGTGTGGACGTGTGCTTGTCTCTAAGAAAGTTTGATTGTGTGTCTACAATGGGAAAATCGAATCGCAATAGTGCTAAAAAGCGCAACCATTGCGATTAATGCAACAGCAACTTCTCGGTGGCAGACCCACATGCTTTATGTGTTGATTGTTTAGGACGTTGTGAGTGGTCTCAACGTTGCACTTTTTGTGCAGACCTCAACGATGATGCTTTTCTGAATATCGCCGGGTAGCTTGTAGACGCGTGTCAGACAGGGATCATCGTCAACCATCTGAGGGTCCTTCTGCGTCTAAACGTTCTAAGACAGAACGCCGTAAGAAAACTGCAGTCCGACGTTCGAAGTCCCCGTCGCCTGCTGAAGATTTCCTAGGGGAGGCGTCGGATTCTTACCTCAGTGAAAATTTACGTCAACTTTTCCAGCCGCATGCGTCTAGCCCCATCACTTTAGAAGACTCTTCACCACCTAGGGTTGTCGTGTTGTCTACATCTTCTCTTCAAACCCGTCCCTCTTCGGTGATACCTATTCCTCAGTGCACTTCTGTTCCTGAGGTGGGGGTTTCTCGTGCGGCGCTTGGTGTGATTACTAGCATTACATCTCAAGTGACGCTTCCTTGCAGTGCGGCGCTTTCCACTTCGGTGGTTGATTCTACGCCTGTTTCCCATTCGGGGCTTGTGTCGAATGTGTCAATTGCTTCGGGTGCAGTGGATGGTTTCGGTGCAGCGCTCTCTCATCCTCCGGTGGGGTTGACAGGTGTGTCAATGATTCCTAGAGTGCCTTTTTCCACATCTATCCCTTATCATGTACCGTTGGGTTATGGACCACCACATTATTCTAGTGCGTCGTTTGCTGCTCCAGCACCGCTTACATCAGGACAGTTACCTGTTGGTAGAGCGCCGCTTGTTACCAATCCCATGATGTCATTCAGTTCGGCGCTCTTGTTTGCCTCTGGTTCGGCGCTTACTCCTGGTGTTCTTGGTTCGGAGCTTCCTCCCGGTGCTCCCAGTTCGGCGCTTACTCATGGTGGCTTTGGTTCGGTGCTTGCTCCTGGTGTTTCCGGTTCGGCGCTTTATTCATGGCTCAGTTTTAATCCCGGTGCTCCCGGTTCGGCGCTTACTCACAGTATTCCCGGATTGACGCTTGCTCCTGGGGCTCCTGGTTTGGCGCTTACTCACGGGGTTCGTGGTTCGGTGCTTACTCATAGTTCACTGGCTTCAAGGTTGACTCATGGGGCATTTGGTTCGACACTTCCTCAGGGTTCAGCGCTCACCTCAAATTTGGCGCTGGGTCCACTCAGCTCAGCTTTTGCTTCCAATGCCAGGGACCCTACGGGTTCATCGTTGCCTCAGCTGGATGTCCGTCTGCTCTCAGTGAGGTGCCTCGTCATCCCTTAGTGTCTGGTGTCTGTTTCGTCGGTTCCTCCTACAACGGGATCGGTGGTGAGACCTATTTTACTGGAATCCGGTGTCGGAGGTTTCGACTTCTCAACCTGTGGATTTTGACGCCATTGTGCTAGCGGTAGTAGCAGCATCAGGCGCCAGCAACTTCCGCTGCTGTTCAGTCATCGGGTCCTTCGACCAATCCAGTTCCACCTTCTTCTGATGGTACGGCACTGTCGGATGGTAGAGTGGATGCTGTTGACACAGCTCAACTACTCATCTGGATTGCCGATAGCCTCCGTTTACAGCGTAGTAGTTTGTCGGCGGATTTATTATCCTGTTTTGATATGAAGCCAGGTGATTTTTGTTCCATCACGTTCCCGCCTTGACTGTGTATTACCCAATTGGCAGCATCTATGGATGAGGCTTTTGGTAACCTGAGGAAGGTTAAGGATGGGTTCGTGGCTCCTCGCTTCAATTTGGCATCTGCTCATGTGCATGGTTTTCTACGCTGATCGTCTCCCCTCCAGTGGATGATGATATTACGTTGCTGGGAACTAAACAGAAAGCCTACTCACCGTTCCTGGTGGAGGATCATGAGCTTTTGCATCTGGATGGTGTCATAAGGAAGATTATGGTGCCACTCAACATGGTGTTGACGACTACCGAAGTGGTGGCTATGTCGGTTGCACATGCTACGTCCCATCAACAAGCGTATATTTGAGCGGCTATTGTCTTATTGCAAGAGCAATTTCAGACCATTCTGGATCAGTTGGCTCACTTCTTTTCGAATGTCGCCGGGGGCATTTGCAATTCACGGAAAATGAACAAAGTTTTTGTAAACTTTTTAAATCACTAAAATAAAGTTTGTTGAATGTGACGCTATGAACACTTTATTTACCAAACTGAAGAGAAACAGGACCACGGCATGTTGACAAGAAATCCTATTTGGTCGAACGAGGGACCACATTGTGTAGAATTGCAAGCCTGACACTGAGAAGTATGGACATAGGTTTGAAGCTTACTACAATAGGGGGTTTATGCACTACATCCTGATATCAAATATTCAAGATTAGACTCATAGTGATGAAAAACAATTATGTACCAAAGCCTATTCGTCTCCCCTCGCCGCCATCTTTGACGATTTGTATGCTGTTTGAGGGATGCTATGACTGCCGCCGCTTTGTGGCCGGCTCTCTTGTAGCTGGATCAGTTTTGTTTCCATTTCGATTTGTCTTCCATTACAGATGTATTTTCCGGTTTTAGAGGATATTGTTGCAGTTTTGGTGGTTTTTGTTCTGTTTTGGTGTATATGAGTTCAGTTTTGATCCATCACCGCTTTATAGGCCCACAGGGTTTCAGCTGCCAATCATCGGGGATCCTCCTCTCACTTTACTTCCGGATCGCAGAACGTATCCCGCTCAGCAGACGGCTGTTCTTCGATCCACAATAGACACCTTACTCAAGAAACTTGCGATTGAATCCCTGGGTCAGGCTCCGACCGTCCCGGGGTTCTATTCTCCAATCTTTCTGGTCCCTAAGAAGGATTCGGACAAACTGAGGTTAATCTTCAACATGAAGGTATTCAACGAGAGGTTTCTGCAGCCTCCGCCCCATTTTCGCATGGTATTGGTGGCACTTCTCAAGACCATTATCAAGCCGGGAGACTACATGGTCAGTTTGGATCTGCAGGATGCGTACCTGCACATCCCGATCTTCCCTGCTCATCGCAAGTTCCTTCGGTTTGTCTTCGAGGGCACCCACTATCAGTGGCGTGTCCTCCCGTTTGGAATTTCTTCGGCCCCGTGGCTGTTTACACGGTTAACGAAGCCTATCACCAGTTTCCTTCACCGCAAGGGAATAGTGTTCGAGGCTTACATTGACGACTGCATTCAGGCGCAGACCAAGCATGCCCTTCTGCTTCGTCACATGCAGTTTGCGATACAGCTTCTTCGCCAATTAGGCTGGTTAATCAATCTGCAGAAATCGGAACAAGTCCCTATGCGCCATCTTCAATTCATTGGAGCAGTGTTCGACACAGAGGTCAACAAACTCTTTGTCCCGAGGGATCGTTTCTGCAAGATACAGCGATTGGTCTCTCTGGCACTGGCGCACCCCAGGATGCTTCGTCAGTGGCAGGAGCTCCTGGGCCTCTTGATGTCGGCTCAGGTGTTGACCCTCAGGGGTCAACTACAACTTCGTCCCTTGCAGTTCTTTCTAGCGCCTTACATCAGAGTGGGAGATCCCGTTGCCTTGATCACTCTACCTATTGAGCTCCATCCCATTCTTCTGTGGTGGATGGAAGAATTGAATGTTTGCGACGGAATTTGTTTAGGGCTGTTTGTTCCGTCTCACCACCTGTATGTGGACGCGTCTGAACACGGGTGGGGAGCTCATCTTCTCAATCAACAAGTGGCAGGGCTGTGGTCTCTCGTCGATAGCGCCTGTCACATCAACGTTCTGGAGTTCAGGGCGGTGATTCTTGCAATCAGTCTCTGGCAGGATGTCCTACGAGCAACTTCCCTCATGATCCGATCGGACAACGCAGCGGTGGTTTGGCATATCAACAGGATGGGGTCCACGGGGTCTACTCAACTGCTGCAGTGGACCCAACAGTTCTTCGATCTGGTGGACTCTCTCAACATCTTAGTCTGAGCCAACCACATTCCGGGGTGAAGAATGTCATCGCAGATTCTCTGTCCCGGCCGAGTCATCCCTCTCCAACGGAATGGAGATTACATCCTCAGGTGTTCCAGACCCTTTGTCTTCTGTTGACGACTCCGACAGTAGATCTCTTCGCCCTCGATTCAACCATCAGCTGCCTCGGTTTGTGTCACCGATTCCGGACCCTCTGGCTTGGGACCTCGATGCTCTAGCCATTCCGTGGGAGGACCTGAACGCTTACGCGTTTCCGCTAGTGGCCCTTCTTCCTCGCATATTAGTGAAACTGCGCGCAACTCAGAGGATGACTCTGCTTTTGGTCGCGCCCTATTGGCCGGCCAGAAGTTGGTTCGTAAACCTTCAAGACCTAGCCGAACCAGATCCCGTACCACTTCCAGTTCAACCCGATCTCCTGATACATCCGCACTCCGACCAGCTACATTGGTCCCCGTTGATGCTCTATCTGCACGCTTGGCGCATCTACATCGGTCGTTAACGGCGAAGGGCTATTCTAAACGGGTGGCTACTGCCATTTGTACAGCGATCATACTTCTACGAGGTCATTCTATGATGACAAATGGAAGAATTTTGAAGCGTATTGCAGGAAGAAGGGCCTCTCATCCCCCACTACGGCCTCCCCGCAGATGGTGGCAGAGTACCTTCAACATCTACGAACCTCCAGAAAACTCAAAGGTTCCACACTATCTACCTACCTGGCTGCTCTTAACACCGTTATTGCAGCGGTCTCAGGTGAGAAGGTGTCCACTGTCCCTGAACTCCAATCTCTCCTCCGGTCTTACAAACTGACTGACCAATCTCGGAAGTTCTCGGGTGCGGTTTGATAGGTCTAGACATGCGAGAGTTTTCCTTGGTTTGCGATGGGATTTTCTCGCCAAGACTGCGTAAGAGATTGTTCATTCCATTGTCAACTGCCTCCACCTCGGAAGTCTCCGTACTACCTTGGCGTTTTAGATGTGAACTACGATCCTGTGTGCTAATGCCTTTGCTGACCTACCTCCACCGTCGACAGCGAAGCCTCATGAGACTTGAACTCTTGCCTCCACCATGGCTCTTCATAGAAATTGTTCCCTGCAGTCCATCATGGAGGGCTGTTTTTGGAGATCCGATACGGTGTTTGCTTCACACTACCTGAGGGACCTATCGGTTACAGACGTGGAAGGTCTACATCAATTCGGCCCCTTGGTCCTGGCGCAGCAATTGTCATCGGTCGGTGTTCGCAGATAAAAAAGCAATCCTTCTTTGGTCGGTGTTGCTCTGTACATAATAAACGATATCGATGTTATCCATGTCTTGGTACTTTTTTCCATTGGGATTAGATTATTCTCACCTATGGGAATAGGGCGTGTCTGCACTGTCATAAGTTATGACTTAATAGACTGTGAGGCCAGTCTTGTGCTACATGCAGAGATGATCGACACTCCGCTTACTGACCTCTACTCTCCGAGCAATTACGTCAGTAAAGTGTTGATTTCCAATTACCTACATGGTTTTCGAAGTGTTCTGCTCCTAAGTCCTTTCTCACCTTGGTAAGTTAGGGAGATTGGTACTGAACGTTAAACTAGTTGAGCAACCGAGCTATTCCCTCTTTCACTGCCTTCCAGCGTGTGTCTGTGGGGGGTAGTTTCGAAGCAGGGACTGGCCAGATTAAGGTCTTCGACTTTAATTCACTGGTGTCACCTGATAAATCGCGGGGCGGCGGGGCCTACTTGCCAAACTGCTTGTCAAAAGTTGCGGCTGAAAACCACATAAATCGGGAGCGCCCACTCCCTAGAGTTTTTGTGCTGTGTAAGCCAAGGGGTTACAAGAAACCCATCTCAAGTTTGGAGTCTGCATATCGGGAGTTGGTGCTTTCTCCTGGCCTCCTTGGGGTTATGCGTCTTCCCGGTTGTACGTATTGACGGGGTAATCTTCGGCCCTCCTACCAACAGTGGAATTGTGCATACCGTGAGATATGATAAGTTTAAAAATTTGTAAATTTTATAATAAATTGTATATTTATATACTTATCCTATCTCACGCAATGGATACCCACCCGACCCCACCCACATCACAGATTACTGGAAGCTCCAAGACGAGAATGACAGGCACAGGTAGTCACATGATCATCTGAGTGAGCTCCACGCTTACGGAGATGATTGACAGGTGCTGATGTCGGAGTGGGGGCAGAGGTCAGGGCGGGTCAGAGGCCAGTAAGATTTGATTCAACTTAGCCTACAGCACGTTTCCACACATGGTCGTAGAAGAAGAAGAGAGGTGCATACCGTGAGATAGGATAAGTATATAAATATACAATTTATTATAAATTTACAATTGTACAAAGCCTAATTCACCAGCTTATGATCCACTAGCACAAACTTTATGGATGAACAACTTTTTATTCAGGTGATGCAACGGTTTGATACAGATTCTTGTATCGTTGTCAAGCAGTTATATCCAGAGAAGTCATTCATCCATAAAGTTTGTCCTTATCTGACTCTCCAACTTCTAAAAAAGCCACTCAAAGAAGTTCACTAGCTAATTGCCATCAGTATGGTGCTATGCTATTCCAGACCCTCTACACAAAACTGACAAGAGTATCTCTTCTTATTGTCATGTCTTTGTGTGTTTTTTTTCTTCAGTTTTATTATCCATCATATCCCTGCTGACTGACCCTAACGCTGATGACCCCTTGGTTCCTGAAGTGGCGAAGGTTTATAAAGTTGACCGAAAAAAGTATAACAAGACGGCAAAAGAATGGACAATGAAATATGCTCGAAGCTATTGATGTCTGTGGAGCTCAAGAGTCGAGTTTAGTATTGTTGGAAGTCAAGGACTCAAGTCTGTCTGGAACAGTTTACAACAACAGTTTTGAAGACTGGATATTGATTGAAGGCACGCACACTTTCCACTCACTCAGTGTACATCATGGCTGACTGATGTCTTAGCTTTTGCTGTTTGAAAGAATCAGTTGTTGATTTGGATAATTATTTTGAATACTGTTGCAGGAATAGGTGATAATGCTTACATGCTAGCTCTTATTTCTGTGTAATAGTGTTGGGAATTGGTTGAAATCTCACAATTGCTGATTGTTTCATTACCAACGAACAATCATCGAAAAAAATTGGTTAGCGTCATTTTTCAGATTTTCCTATCCAGGTTGTTATTGCAGATATGTATAACATGATGCAACTTGCTACTTTAAAGTGATGACTAATATATCATGAACATAAACTTCCCCGGAATCTTCAAGAAATATTCAGTCATGGAGTTTCAGTTAGTGAAGTGAGTTTTCTAAGAATTAAACACGTTTTCATGCCCTGACAACTTCAACGATATGTTTCATTGTCAAGTATTTGAAAGACTAAAACAATAGTTCCAAAATCGTTTATGTTCGATTATGAGAAAATGTGATCGAGTGCTTGGTAGTTTGGTCACTGCGATCAATCTTCGATTATTTCAATTAATCGGAACACCACTACTGTGTAATGATTAATTATTCTGAGAACTGGTGTAATATTTGCCTTTTTCGGTTTTCAATTTCCTGCCTTATATATTTTTCCAAGTTCAGTTTTTGGGTATTCCTACTTTTGTAATATGTTACCAGAAACAAACTTGTCATGTTTAACAACCACTGATTCTCAGACAGAGAGTTTTGAGAAATTTGTGCGTGCAGTTTCTTAATTTGTAAGTGTAGAAAGAGGATCCTACTTTGCCATGATGGTTTGAGAATTATTTTATGGTGGATGTTTTCTAATGTTTGAAATTAGTTTCCTGTTATCAGCAGGGGAACAAAAGGAGAAACTCAAACTGGCTGTTGAAAATGGATTCATCTGATATGAATATGTTCACTTGATAAAGTAGGTGCATTTAGTGCACTTAGCAATTGTAATAAATATAATTCAAATATACACTCGTAAATGAAATATTTCTCTTATAAAGATATGTAAATACGCCAAGGCTTGCAGAACTATTCATATCAGACCATTCTCCACTAGTGCATGTCTGTTTAGCCAATGGAGACATTGGCTAGAACCAAGTTTATTCTGTACTTCAGTCTTACTGTATATTGTATTTATGTATGTAGAATTTCTTGTTTCAACTTTGACATCAGATTATATTTTGTTTATGCTGAGCAGTATACAACTTGCATTTTTCTTTGGAAATAGCACCGACTTGTTTTGAGGCACCAGTGTTGCTTAAAGACAGCATGTTTGTATATACTGCCAAAATAATTCAAAGAAATGATTTTGCATGGTCATTGTAAACTAAGAGTAGTGGTAACCATGACAGTGTATGATTTGTTTTGCTCTAGTCACTTTGTTTAAGGTTGATGGCACATGGCACTTTGAAGCATCTAATGTCGAGTCTGAAGTTTAGGGTGAATGAAGTGAACAAATATGACCTCGAATGACTTTGCACAAAGATTTCAACTATGACTCAGATCAGGGTCTATAGCTTGGTGGTTTTCCTTGTTAAGATATTTCAACACTTGAAATTGAGGCCATGATCTGTGGTCTGTTGTCGTTTTTTGGGTGAACGTATCTGTTTTGTATGGCATGTAAAATGTTACATGTGTTCAACTGTTATGATCTCTCACAAGTGTGCTTTACATTGGGCACAGTTTCGACTATTTTCTTCGATGTGATTATGATGAAAATGTTTTTGAATTTGTTGTTTTCAAACTGTATTATGGAGACCCTTCTTTGTAATTCTATAATTTTTACTTTGTTCATCATTGTTCAAGATCAAATCTTTGTTTTTAGTCGTGGATATGACTTTTGAAAAACATGGCCTGCAGCTTCTTTGTGTGTGGAAGGAAGGAAGATTTATCATTGTTTGAAAGTCCTGGGACTGTGGTTATTCAGGTTTCACTGATGTTCAAGAATGACCCACTGTTAAGTTTATATCTCACCTACTGTAAAACGACTTACAAAGGAACAAATCTGAGAAGTGTATAAGGGATAAAATTTGTAAAATTCATTATCTACTTGATCATGATTAATATTTCAGAAGTCTGTATGGAATTTTTTGATGAAATGTGCAGATTACAAGGAGGGTCATTATCTGTCTACAGAACAAGGCTGCCAGTTATGGTCATGTGACAATGTACAGATTATCTGAAAATAGCATGTATCCAAATTATACAGAAACCTGTGTAGTCAAATCTGCACACAATCCAGTCCAAGAAGCTGAATATACGTATCAGTTCATACACTGTTCTTTGTCTGCTTCTGTTGTTAGACCAAGTAAGAGGATACATGTCACTGATGCTGTTTATCTTCAGGGGTGCTAAGGCTTCTCATGTTGGACATATCGACCAGTTTGTGAACTTGGTCTGTATTGAGCAATGCCATATTTGAGTGTGTGTGGTCTTGAGGTATGTTTCGGCAGTCTCATGTTTTTCATACATTGACACATTTTCTGTCTTATCAGGTTGTTTTTGTGTAGACCTGTGTCACGAATTGGACTGAGATCATTTTGTGTTTAAGTGATTTCTTGTCAAGCCTGGAATATGAAAAGTCGAAGAAGTTTATGTCAAAACCTGTCAAACTTTCAATCTGTTGTTGCTTTTAGGCCAACTTTGCATTTCAACCTAATAACAAAATGAGTTTTCTATTAAGTTTGTTACTTATGTTTGATCGTTCTACACTGAGTGATGTGAGCCCTGTACATTCCATACCTTTAGACTAAGTGTGCGTGCTGTGTATAGTAAATACTAATACTTCTGATTACTTCTCACATAGAATTACATGTGCAGTGAAGAATAGGTCAAATATATTTGCAAGGTCAGAATAATTTAACTAGGATTGTCATCAAAAACATTCAATATTGTAAGGCGGGATTTTAATTTTTACGAACAATTGTCTCAAATTGTATACATTGACTGATTTGATTTATATGAAGAACGAGGGCTTTTGTGGACAGTGTTGAGGGTATATTTCATTATTTGGTAATCCAGTTGAGGAAGAGAATGCTTATTTTTATTGTGACATGAAAATCAGGTGAGGTTTGATGTTTAAAAGTAACATTACTGGGATGAAAATTTAATAATGTATTATGGCCTGATGCTTCAGTTTGACTTGTGTTGTAAGTCTTTTACAGTTTGAATGCACTGATGTTCCATAGAAACATTATTCATGTATGGTTGTCAAGTAGCAAGCTCAAATAATAGAATTCTCAAAGATTTGAATGTTCAGGAGAGTTTCTAGAAATTTGGGAAAGGGATATGTCATTGAAATTACGATACAAAGTTAACATTGTCAGTGCTGGGCCATTTTGTGTGAATAGGTGAGACCATGAATTTGATGTTAGTTGGGGCTTATAGCTTGTTTAGAAGAGACATTAAACATCCTGACTTGTAATTGGTTGGGTATTCACGCTGATGGGAGTGTTCAGTTCTTTCATCATTTTCAAAAACTGTTTTTGTATCAACCAGAGCTGTACTTTGCCTGTACATTTCTTGTGTAAATATATATGTGTATATACATATAGATCTGATGACTGTACTCTGTACGTATCTAGTGTTCTATTGATAATTTGACCTCAGTATTATTTGTTTCCCAGTCTTGTAGTGCTTCAAAGGTATTCTCAATGTAAGCTTTGAACAGCAGGATGTCTACAGTGGCAGTTTGGCCAGATTGCCTATAAGACTAGCATTGACAGAAGATGTATGTGGTTTTAATGAATCCACAGGGTGATAAATACATGTTATAACATGAGAAGGAGGTAACAAATAGGTATATATTAGTCATCATAAATTATTTATATCATTTAGATTTTTGTAATGTTGCTTTCAAGAACTTGTATCAAGGATTGATCACTGTACTAAAACTATCCTACCTACCAATTAGAAATGTGTGATATTCCTGATGTGCTCTGAGCATAAATCAGTGCCTAAAGTATCAATATCACAGTATCAATATTTGTGACATTAACTGAACTGGTATTAGGAATTCAGGTACAAATTTATGAGAAAGATATGGAGGGTCTTTCAGTCAAAATGAAATATATCTGACACAGGCATTGTAAGCAAGGAAAGACTCCTGTTTCATCTCGTACTACACACACAACAATTAAAGACAGCCAAATACCCTGAAGCCAAATAAGCTTTTGTCCAAAGGGTCAAATTTTGTCCAAAGGGTCAATCACAGTCTTTGTTGACTAATGTATTAGTCAACAAAGACTGTCAAATATCTTTTAGTCTTTATTTTCACTGTACAGTTTACACATAGAGCATACTTATGATTCTGTGATTCCATGATAATGTTACTATGTGTAGATGGTTCAAGCTTATATGAACACTGACCAACACAATCCCGCACAAAGATGCCCTTGAGTACCACTGTGTACACAACTATCAGCACAACAGGTTGCAATAGTTGCAGCATTTCCACCTTCAGGGTTTTCTTTAAGATTAAGAAGAAAATAAGTGGTGAAAGATGCTGTGATTAAGTAAACATGAGCCCAAATAGCCAAAGTCATCTGACTCAAGGAGGAATGGTGAAAAGAACAAATGAGTCAAGCTCTTATACATGTATCTGTTTTTTAAATGCTTGTGGAAATTTGCAAAGACTGAAGTCAAGTTTACGTGTTCATGCACACTATACTGTTGTAACAATTTAATGATTGTTTTATCATCAGATATCAATTATTTGTGTGTATACAAAGAGGTAAACAGTTGTATACTTGCTGGCTTTCTATCCCTATGACTAATTTAATTTTATGTCCTATAGAGTGAAAAGATTTAATGTTCAGGTCCAAGTTAAACCAAACATAATTTGTAAGCTAAAATATTGTGTGAGTTCAGATATATAAATTTGACATAAATCTGGGCCAATTTATACCTATTTTTTTATGTTTTGAAAATGCTATGGGGTCATTCATCCAAAATATATAGAGCATGACATCAAGAGTTGTAGACATGATAGATAGCGTTTTATTCCAAATGTTTTTAAGAGTGAAATACTTTTAGCACTGTAGCTTTAAACAGTGTTTGTAGTTCTGTGATGATTGACAATGGTGCTTTTATATTTGTTGTTTATTGTATTTGTTGATATTTATTCGCAGGTCACTTTTGCTTGCTTGAAAATTTAGTTGCCAGTTCTGTTCTGCACAGTTAATTCAAGGGACATAACTCCATAG